TGGGGCGGGGCCCCGAGCAGCCAGCCTGGCTTCTGAGCGGAAGTTAAAGGTGAATCCTAGGGGAGCTACGCGCAATGAATCGTGTAATTCTTTACGGGGGTAGTGTGCCTAGCGGTCATTGCGGGTGGATTATGTAGCGATGGGTTCCTTAGAAGAGAACTCGGACTGTTTTCACCCAGGAAAAATGTTCACTGAAAATTCTTAAAACGGTTGTTAATTGTTTTGACTTTGACTTGTTTGAAATAGGCGAATTTGTGTATTTTGAAACCTGTTTTTTCAAAATATACAAATTTGCCTATTAATGAAAGCAGGGGATCACTCAGCTAGTAGGACATAATTTGCCAGATTTAATTGATGAAGGGAACTTGAATTCTTTTGAATTTCCTTAAATATATTTCTGTTTTCAATTTTTTAAAAAAGCCATCCCTTTCTTCCTCCTCCCAAGGACAGTTCCTCATGTCTGGGTGCAGAATGTTGAACCTGCTTTGAGCCACTTAATAATAACATCACTTGTCATGAGCTGTGTGAAATGACCTTGTTGCAACTAATCTCTAGGTGGTAGCCCTTGGAGACGTACCTGATGGGACTGTAGTCACGGTCATGGCTGGGAACGATGAGAATTATTCTGCAGAGCTCAGAAATGCCTCGGCCGTCATGAAAAATCAAGTGGCGAGGTTTAACGACCTCCGATTTGTGGGGCGAAGTGGCAGAGGTAGGTAACTGTCACCTATGTAGCTGTACAGAGTTTTGATTTCAAAGCAACTGCAAATCAGTATGGAGGCATCTTAATCGCTGTGGAATGGCCTTCAAAAGTGTGGGGCGGAGGGGGGTTCATTTGTAGCTCTGAGCCATTCATTTCATGAATTCCCACAATGCCCAACTTTTGAAATGAGCCACGCAGGACGGACTCATGCTCCCAAAGAAGTCAATGGAGGCTCTGCCGCAGCTTTCAATGGAATCAGAATTGGGTCCATTACATTACTATTCGGGTCCGTAGAAAACTGGATTCCACCGTTTTGCATTTCAGCCTTTCTTTTGGGCTTTGCCTGCATTAGTGCACAAAAGTAAGAGGGAAAGCAACCCATTTGTGTCATAAAAGCGGTGGACCGTTGTAACCTAAATCTCCTCTTTTGCGGCTCACCTTTTCACACTAAAATTGGATACAAAGACACGCATCCATTTTTACAGACTGAAGGCCTGGGCAAAGCCAGTTAAAATCTATAAAAAGATTCCCATAGAATTAGTCCATACATGGTTACGAGTGTAAAGGTTCAAATGTACCTTTTTAAACACAGTCACTTCCACTGCATTTATTCAGGACTTTTAAGAAGAGAAGTAAATATTTTCAGTGACTGGACGTTGCCACTATTATTAGTGCTTATAGTTACAGAGTTTGAAATGTGACTAATACTATTCCCATATCTTACTCTCAGCCCTAAAAGAAAATGAAATTATTAGTAAATTATAATGTTTGAGTACTATCATCAATTTAGTCCTTCCAGGTCAAATGATATGCTTATTAGAAGATGAATGAAACAAAGATTTGAAACTCTTTTTGAGAAGAAATTCCATAGTGCAATTCTTTAAATTCTAGTGTGATATTCTGAAAGTGTTAGACTAACCTAATTTATTACATTTAAAGTTAAATGTAATAGTTATAGATTGCTAAAGCAAGACAAGTTTGAATTAGAAATAAAATAGGGCACAGCTTTTTTTAACTGTGAGGGTGATTTACCATTGGAACAAACTACCAAGACTGCAGAAAAGATCTACTTTAGTGTTACTGCAGGATTAACTGGATGAAATTCAGTGGCCTGTGATATAAAAGAGGTTAAACTAGATGATCTAACGATCGCTTCTGGTCTTCAAAAGCAAAAACCCTAGAATGTAACCTTAAACTAATCATCGTGCGGCAGACTTACAAGCCAAACTTTTTAAAATAGTCATCAATGAAATGTCACTGTTCTGTATTACTAAGTACAATTTGGAAGTGAATCCCCTTATCTAGACGGCAGGCCAGACAACTTTTGAGTATACAATTAGTATATCCCGTACCCTCACGCATTATTCATTACAGCCCTATTTTACATAGAATTTTAAAATTTCATCACCAGCAAACACTGCAGATTCAAGCAGTTCTTCTCAAAAAGCTAACGCCGTGTTTTAATGGCCATTTGGCAGTGTTTCCTCTCCCTTTCAAATGTATACATACAAATGTCAAAGATATTTTGACTTCTCGGCATTAATTAAAACCAGTGATGTTAAAAATTATTTGCATGTAATAACTGTTTACTTGTTACTCTTTATGAAACTTGAATAGTTTACATTCTTTCTGACATTTCCTTTTTCCTGTTGGCTCCTTTTTCGAGTTGCAGATTTTCTTTAAAACTCTCCACTTAACTGGTTGCAGGTTGATGGATGGAAAATGTTTTTCTTTTATGAATTAAGCTTTCATTTCTGTAGTCAATTATTTTTCTTAGTCTCTCCTGCGCTCGCTCTCTCTCTCTCTATCTCTCTCTCTCTCGGTCTCTCTCTCTCGCTCTCTCTCTCTCTCTCCCGCTCTCTCAGTCCGAATGAGTAAATAGAGAATTCTCTAACCTGAAGTCTTTAAATCAAGAGTTGAGGACTCTTCCAGTCCGAATGAGTAAATGGAGAATTCTCTAACCTGAAGTCTTTAAATCAAGAGTTGAGGACTCCAGTGATTCAGCCAGAGGTTAGGGGCCTATTAAGGGGTGTGTGAGGTGTGGCCTGGAATGTGAACGTTAGATTAGATGATCACAAACTTCGTTAACTCTCCTCCCCTGGGTGCTCATGTTCATGCTCTGAAACAACAGGAGTTCCCTGTCTCTTGAAAGCACGTAGGTGCCCCATCTCCCTCCCAAACCATAGACCTGATCAAAGCCCATGAAAATCAATGACAGAATGTTCATTGACTTCAGTGGGCTTTGGATCACTCCTTGTGTGCATTCACCTTAGGCACAGGTGTCAAGATGGGACCCTGCCATGTGCATCTTGTGCTGAATAATGGGGCCAATCCTGCTTTCCTTGAGCAGCAAGCAAGCCAGCAGGAGTTTGAGGAGGGTAGAATGCGTCCAATGGGCCAAATTCTTCTCAGTCCGATCTAAAATAACTCAGCTGGCTTCAGTGGAGTTACTTACAATCCGCACTGGATTTTCTCATTGATCTATTCCTCACTTATCCATGTGGGGTGTGAAAGTACCTAAGCACATGCGTAAGGTTAAGCATGTGCATCAAATTAAGCACCAGGCTTAAGCGCTTTCCTGAGTGGGGAGGCTGAAAGCAAAATTTGGCTAAAGACCTTTAAAAAAAACATTAGGGATGGAAATTATTTCTGTCAGGTTTCTGCTACACTTTGCTCCCCCTGCTGTAGCTTTTAAATCTCTAGGAGGGCCAGATGCTGCTCTTGTCCACACCAACAGAAATCTGGAGTCACTCCAGTGTTATATGCAAACAGAATTGGGGCCTGTGATTCTTATGTTTTCATATCCGCTCTGAGAGATGCATGACTTGTATGAGTAAATTCTGATTAAAAAGTCTCCTCCAAGATCTCCTATCTAATAATAATAATAATTTAATAGTTAATAAATGTAACACCAATAGATGCCAATTGAGGTTGGGGGCCCTCTATGCTGTGAGCTGCACGACCACTTAGTAATGAACATCCCTGTCTCAAAGAGTTTACAGTCACAGATTAGAAGAGTTTTCTTACCCCCATGTCACAGATGGAGAAGAGGTACAAAGAGGCTGACTTGCATAAAGACCTATCGAACAGTAACGTGCTCTGGGAGCAGCCCCATTGATATCAGGGCAACTCCTTGTGGAGTAAGATGCTACTCAGTGTAAGGATGGTTGGAATCCTGCCCATCATTCGCCATTTGCCCAGAGTAGGGTGCGTGGCACTTGTCTTGAGGCCTCATGCAGTCAGTCTGCCTGGAATGATCAATATTGTGCATAATGGCTTGTCGGGGGAGGGAGTGGGTTGAAATGATTCGAGTTGTATTTGTCCTGGTCTGACGCCCGTGGGGCATGGGAATGAGTCCACTGATGCTGAGTAATAATAACAATTTGCACAATTCAGCTGAGAATCTCCGCAGTTCAGAAACACGAAGCGTCGCATATTGCTCTCAGATGAATGCAAGTTGCTCCCAGTGAGACACAGCCCTCGGCGCGGCAGGGAGGTGTTACCATGGCCCCTGTGTTACAGAGGGTAAAACAGAAATCCAGAGGAGTCAGGTAAATTGTGAAAAACAGGCAAAGTTGGGACTAGAGCCCAGGGCTTAAATCTCCCAAATACCCTGCCAATGCATGAGGGCGGGCTGATCATGTGAACGTTATTGCTCATGCATTTGCGCTAAACTTCGTAACAGATACATTACGGGGGGACTTTTGCCTCCTGTTCTCTTTGCAAACTGCACATGAGCTGACGGAAACATTTTCTGATCGTATTGCCTATATTTGAAGTTGCTGCATGAATACATTCCACTAATAATTCCTGATCTGTAAATCATTTCACTGAGAGTGTTTTGCTATGGGACATCTTACTGTGTTGGCTAGTTCTGATGGGATGCAAAAGCCATGTCACGTTATGTGTGTTTCCTAGGCTGCACAAGTGGAACTCCTAAACACATAGGGCTACGTCTAGACTGCAAGCCTCTTTCGGAAAAGAGTGTCTAGACTGCAATGAGTACTTTCAATAAAGCAAGCTGCTTTCGAAAGAGAGCACCCAGGCAGTCTGGATGTTCTTTGAAAAAGAACAGTTTGCATTACATAGCGCCTTTTCTCAAAAGAGCACACCTCGTAAAACGAGGTTTTCCGTGGTAGAAAAAAATGCCATGTTCTTTCGATTTACTTTCAAAAGAACGTGGCAGCAGTCTACATGCAGGGGAAGTTTTTTCAAAAAAGGCTACTTTTTTTGAAAAAACCCTGCAGTCTAGACATCCCCAAGCTGTCAATGTGAATACTTGTATTTGCTAGTGAAATTTACTTTGCAGGAAATTCACCCTGCTGCAGAAAGTCTGTACAAGGTGTTTGCACCATTTAAGCCCTATTCTGAGTTCTTAGTTGGGCCTGCACTCAGTGCTTTACATGAATATGCTTTAGTATCCCCTTAATATTAACCATTTCCAGGAACACTCTCTGCAAGGAACTGCTTTTGGTAGAATAGATGTAAGATGCTAACCCCATGGAAAGACCCCATCTTGTTAAAATGCAATTTGATTTTTGTTGAATAAATAATTTAATAGTAATATTTGTTTTTGTTGTTGGTGTCTGGGGTGCATAGAGATTTTGGTTAGAACGACCCTTTTAAATTATTGCAAACAGTGATAAATGAGATTGGAACAAATGATTTTTTTTCTGTATAATGTTTGCTCAGCTTTAGTTAATGACAACCAGTGAATGTGTGTGTGTAATTAATATTCAAGAACCTAAAGGCAGTAAAATGGGATGTATCCAGCGGAGCCCCACGGTAACTAATGTGCTTTGCGACTGGCAGGAAGGCAGGGAGAAATAGCTACTGGCTCATAACAGTAAGGGCGCGTCTACACAGTGGGGCTATTTTGAGATACCGGAAGTAGCCCGAAATAGCTACCCCGCATCTCTTGAACACCAGAAGTAGCCCAAAATAGCTACCCCGCATCTCTTGAACACGCCTGCTATTTCAGGATAGGTCAGACGTGCAATTTCGGCATCCCTTGTTCCACGAGGGTTAAGAGATGTCTCGAAATAGCGCCTTGTGTGTAGAGGTGCAAAACTTTGAAATACGCTATTTCGAAATTCAATGGAAGTAAGCTACGCAATTTGCATATCATATTTTGAGTTTAGGGCGCTGTGTAGACGCCCCCAGACAGGTCTGAGCGCGGTCTGGAACAGGCTTTGTGAAATCCTGCATTCGGGCTAGACTGTGAGTCTGCTGATGACATCAATGAGCATCCACGGGTGCTGGGTATTGTCCAGGCCCAGGAGGGCCACTGTGATCTAATGGTTAGAGCACAGGCCCTGGAATCGGGACTCCTGGTTTTCTCCCAGAAGCTGAGAGAGTGCAGCCTAGTAGTCAGGGAAGGCAATGGGGAAACGTGGTTCTTGGACACCAGGGCGGTTCACAGCAGCTGAGGATCTGTCCCCTGCCTTGCATCCTTGCTTGTGGAAGAGAATATTGTCGAGTGGTTGGGATGGTGGGGCAGGAATTTCCAGAGCTTATTTCCATTCCTGGCTCTGCTCTTGTATAGTCACCATGTGACCTTGGCCAAGTCATTTCACTTCTTTGTGTGTCAGTTTCTCCCTTGGTAAAACAAGTGAAGGGGAGCGGCCCCCAGGCAAAGCGCTGCCAGCGCCCTGAGGGAAAGCGCGTCTGCACCAGTGTTTGCATTATTCATAGAGCCCGGCAGATCTGCGGAGATCCCCTCTGCGGGTATCCGCGCCCACAGCTGTGCGTGTGGGTATCTGCGGCTCATTTTTGTGGCTACAGATGCAGATGTGGATACAAATTTTGTATCCGCGCAAGGCTCTGGTTATTAACAAATACAGACTCTCCTCAAACCCTGTCACAGCA